GTACGACAAGTGGTACCTGTTGGTTTTATGCAGCCGTACTGCAGTCACGCGGTTCCATGACGAATCTTTACCAGCGCTTGCGCAACACACAGAGAACAACGAGTATATACGCGACAGTCACTTTGTGCACTCTATAAACATTCTTAAATCTTACAACTGAGTAATTTGTACATTTTCAAAACAAACCTGTGTTTCGGAGCGAACGGCGACAGGATCTTCGGCTTTCCTTGCTTTCATATTTATTCCTCTTCTTCTCGAGACAAATATTTCATTAAGAAAAAGGGCTTTCGTACTTAAATGGTGGTTGTCGGAGTCAACGATTTTGTATTATGCTGTATTAATGCAGTGATGTGCACATTAATGTAGTGATGTGATGTGTATTTGGTTTTATAAGTCGAACTTGGCCTTGTCGTACCGTACTGAGCGGGGAGCTCTAAGCGAATGGTTCTTCTTGGTTTTACAAGGTCGAGTCGTGCAAAATCAAGCAGAAATAGCTTGGGTCGGCGGCGCGGCACGACTCAACATATAAAATGGCTCTTATAGAGTCAGATTTCACGTTTATTATTCTATGATTTATGTTCATTAGGCCCATCGTATTTATTACATTACATAGACGCAGATTTCGCATCCCTGGAAACTGCTGACAGAGCCCCCGCAGATATTTTTTTCTATCTAACCTTTGTCTATCTATAACCCTTTATATAAGTAGTTTAGAGTATCAGTTGTGTAGTACGTGATATGCAGTAGGTGCTTGTGAAAGACCCCAGTATACATTTATATAACAATCTGGCTAATACAACAAAAGTTGCATTTTCTGCTGTATCCTGCTACCACCAAACTCACTGTATCCCGGAGACGGTCTACACACCCCCTGTTGGAGAGTGAAGAGGTAACGAGCAATTGTTTTTCCCAGTTCTTTATACGCAAATGATTAGGCATGATCTCTCTTAAACTTTCAACTCAGTAGGCGGGGTGCGATTTCCCTATTGATTGTAAAATTCCAAAATTCCTGAACAATATCATTTTTGTCAGGACTCATGGTATTGTTGAATTTGATCGCTTAAATTACCAAAATCAGGGGCACAAGTACTGGATGTACTGAATATGTCTTTCGTCTTCTAGAATGTAGCGAAGTTGTTTTGATCTAGAATCTAGATTTGATCTAGAGGAAGTTAGGGGTCTGGAGCACAGGCCAGAAGAACCATAGCCATAAAAAACGTAAGTGCCCCGGGTCAAAGCAAAGCTGGGGCCTCTAGGGGTGGATCCAGAAAAGTATCGCAAGACAAAGGGCGGTGCTCAAAGGCAAGGCCTGTTATTAAGGCCTAGCTTCAAGGTTAAATATCATATGCAACTAAAACATATTTATGTTTCCTGATGTAGCATTAGCAAAATAAATGCAGTAGACAACAGCCTGAACTGGAAAAGCGCAAACAGTTGCTGAACACCCTGTATGAGAAAGCAAGGCAAATGGTTGCGTTTCATTGTGTGGGCCATCTGCTTTACCGTCATAAGGATTTAAATTTGCATCAGCACAGTTATATTTCCAGAACTGTAGCATTAGCAATTTGAATATGAATGCAAATGACGATAGCCTAAAATGAAACAACGAACAGCTGCTGAGCACATTGTATCGAATAATTGCTGAACACCTTGGCTGGGTCATCTATTTTTGTCAAAAGAATTTGAATTTTCATACAAAGAGTTTGCTTTCTTGAACAGTATAAGATGTGAAATGTTTTCTTTTTGTGCAACTCGTTTGGATTTTGTACGAATCAGTTTTATTTTTGTGTTGTTCACATGTTTTTCTCTGTGCGCAATTTGATGGGAAAACCGCTGACGGTCGAGTGGCTGTAAGCCACTGTAACTTGTGTGAAATGCCTTTAATTTTTAACTTTATGTTGCTTTAGACTGCTATTGGTAAGATATTTTTCAGCATGGTGCTTTAAGGTTTGGGATATACAGTTTAAGGTTTAAGGTTTAAGGTTTTAAAAAACGAGTTGACTTTCGAAATAAATGAAAAATTATAAATGTTTACACTAACAGTAGAAGAATTGCTCAAGAATCACCATGTCAAAAGAAAGTGAACGGGGGAGAAGATACCTTCTATTTTCAACCTCAAAGTAGTCTTTATTTCATTCAATTGGAAAGTCGCCTGCGCGGCAACCTGATACTTGACACCCCCCTCTAAGAAATTCTTAAAGCACCGCCCCCTGCCCAAGATAATACACCAATTCGACTTACGACCTCGTTTTGGAAATTTCTCCAAACTTGATTATACGACTTTTTTAAGCTCAGATTTGGTTTTATCGTCACAATTTTAGGCGGGATACCATTTTTCATATTGTTTGTGCTTGTATTTTAGATTTTACGGAGAAATTAAGTTTGAAAACCTGTAAGGGATTTGACCGCAAAAATCGTTTAGGGGGGAAACTTTACCCCCCTAGTTGCCAATCACGGTCAAATCTTTTATAAAGTTTTTATCTTTATGTCGTCATAAAATCAATATCGTGAGCAATATCATAATGAAAACTTACAATTCCAAATCTGAGGTCAAAAATTTTGTACAAAAGAATTCGAAGAATTTTTCAAAATGAGGCCGTAAGTCGAATTGGTGTATTGACAGCCTCTACACTCCTGATTTTCTACCGTATAATATATGGCTGGTGGTTGGACTGGTGATGTTTTCATTGCCTCTTCTATCTTTCATTTGATTGTAAATAGTATGCTGAAATTACTTACCGTATTTCCTCTACTGAGTCCCTCCCTCTAATGAACGCCACCCTCTGTTAAGCGCCGCTCTCTATAGAATTCTGCATCCAAAATTTAGATTTTGTAATAAACGCCGCGGCGTTTTTTAGAGGAAATACGGCATGTGCATTTGATAATCAGCTAAAAAGAAATGTTTATTCATTAGAATACGTAGAGAAATCAGGAACCATGCACCGCTCAAAAGTGGAGGGGATGAAATAGGTGTGACCGAAGACTTTTTGAGGCCACGCCCCCTAGAACGCCGGAAACGCCCCATTTAGAAAATACTTGCTTATTTCTGCTTAATTTTTATAAACAGAGAAGATATCAATAGCTATAAAGCAGATCAAATTAGCTTGAGGGCAATAAAACACGAAGCTAACCAAGTTAGAAAAATACATACATAATGTCATTAAACAATATAAAACACATGAACATGAACAAGATGAACAAAAAAGGCTTCCAGTCAAGAAGAACTCCTATTACGTAGGTGTAAACTATTCAAAGTTGCGTTAGGATAAACTTTATTGCAAAAAGTTGGGGGGGGGGCTATATCTTCAATTCTATTCTAACATGTAACTTTTATCATTAATTTGCACCTGCATTAATTCATAGATGCCACTGATCAATCCATCACTACAATGCCCTCTCAATGTTCCCTTTAATTTTCAGTCCCTTCAATTTTCAATTTTCCAAAAATGACAGCTTCTCATTTGACATGTAAATGTTCAATGTAATCATTGATCAGTGGCATCTTCTAGCACTTTTCATTAATCTAGATCCATTAATCTATTATTTCTTGCACTCTGAGCATTATACCGATACTCGGTCCTGCTCAGTATCGATGTATAAGTAGAATAGCCCCTGCTAGCCTAATGGCTGCGCGGTGCCTGGGAGAAATGCGTGGTAATTACACTGATCTAAAAAAAACACTTTTATGAACTGAAGACTAATACGGTTCATAAAAAAGGCTTACTACAGCAAAACATTTGATTACATTGGTAATTTTGTTCCAGAAATAATCATAGATTACTGCATAAAGCTCTCAAAATAAATTCATTTTACTGCTAAATGTTCTAAACATATACGCAATTTTTGTAGCAAACATTTGAATTTGTAAAATATGTTTGAAGAACCTCCTGAAACAATCTAAATTACTGTTTCCACTCCAAAATTAATGTTATGAATTTTGCAGTTTGTTTTGCTTTAGTAAGATTCAGCTGCTAGCAACAACTTCCATTGCTTAGTCACATCATAGCATCTCAGTGATTGGTTCCTTTCCAAAACTTGAAAATGGAAAACCTTTATGGTTTTATAAACAGATTTTTATTTCATTTCAAAACAAGTGGTGAAGGCACATGTCTTTGTCAATCCACCAAGTCAAAGATGCACACAAGTTGCTCTACCTAGAAAATAGAAATATAAAAGTATTTTTCGTGTATCTATTAGCCTGCGCCTTTATAGATCTGATACACTCTTCTATGAGGCAGTCCCACATTTCAATTTTTCCATGGGGAAACAAAGATTAGGCCTAGTGCCATGTAAAAAATTATTACTGAATTCATAAACATTAACTATAGCAATCTATTTGGGTATCTAAAACCAGGCAAGACTTTCCAAATAGCTACCTACTTCAAAGTAACTAACTGTAGCAATCTATTTGGGAAACTAAGGCCCCGTTTACACTGCCACAGATGACTTGTTGATCCGTATCAAAAGTGATACGGATTGGCCTCCCGTTTACACCACTCCAAGCTATCCGTAGCAAAACTGATACGGCTAACCGTATCACTTTTGATCCTTTTAGCAAAAGGATTTGAAATGGTCCAGACTCGTGAAAACCCAGTTTAAAGGGGCATAACTGTACCTAAGAAATACAACGATCTTGGCCTACTAAAATAAAAATAGTAGTGTACTCACGGTGAAAAAGTGGAGCGTAGCTTCCTTTTTATTTGCAATCCGTGATTCTCATGGTCCTTGTTGTCATTTATTCCCTTTTCATCGTCAGTTCTCTATTTCGCATTTCTTACAGGCAAAATAAATGCAGCGAATACCTAATTCTCCAGCATCCTAGCTATTCATTTTCCCGCTGAAGTGGTCACAAGCGCATGGCGCCGATTGAAATTCGCCGGCCGCACTTTCTAAGGTTTGAGAACAATAGGATGCGCGATCCAGTTTTTTTTAGATCAGTGGGTAATTATCCTGATGCGAGGGCGCTATCTCTCGCGCAGCCTTGTGCGCATGGTGAATCCTCAGACCGATGTCCACTTGGTCTTTTCCAACGCCGGTGTAGTAGTTCAAGTTACAGGATCACTAGCGTTCAACCTCTGGTGTAGACATAGACATGGCCCTTCGATTATTATCATCGGCAAGATGCTTATTAAGATCTACGACATTTACCCAGTGTGCTAGGATTTCGACTTCACAACTTTTACAGGCGACCGAACGAGGTAAGTTGTATAATTGGGACGCTTTCGGCAGGAGAATGGGCCTAACCAAGATTTCAAATGTCAAACTAAACGTGTTTAACAGCACGGAGCTATTAATACTTGTTTTTATTCTTCTATTAATTGCCAGACCCATAAAATTCAATCATTTTTGTACCTAAATTGTGTTTAATGTGGCTTATTACTGGTAAAAGCATTTTCCAGCCAAGCTTCGTAAACAGCATTGGATTGGCAATTCATTTTTTGGAGCCATTTTGATAAATTACATAAAGAGGAAAAAAGCAACTAGTTTCGAAACCATGCCAAATTAAATTTGACAACTGTACTTTTATTGCCTCACAAGAATTTATCTTAAGTTGAAAAGCCATAAATGATTGTATTTCTCAGCAGTGATCACATGGTAACGGAAACTTCAAAGTAGGTTGTTCTCTTTTGACAAACTGCACTCGACAGTTTTTGTTTTTAACACGTGGACAGACTGTTTCCATGAGCCTTACATTTACAAACGGTTGTTTAATTTTTTATAAATTCGTTAAACAAAAGATAAACTTTGTATGCAAAAAGCTTGCAAACCAAAAAATAAATCTTTGGATGAAAATTATTTACTTGAAACTGCCATTCCCTAGTGTTTATTAGTAGAAACAAGAACTGCACTAAAACAGCGATAAATCATGTCTTGGATTAAAAAAAATAATTTTTGATGCCAAGCATAGTGATCCTAGATGCAGACACAGCATTGTTGAAGGGGCACCTAAAAACTAGCTTTATACAATTTACATGTGGAGAAATAGTCCTTGTGCATATGGCATTTTGGGTAAGTTTTGTACACCTGTACCTAGGTGTAGTGCTGTTGTTGCACCTAAGGTCCATCAAAAATGCCCATACTCTGCAAACTGGTTTGATGCCAGTCTGCAGAGTATAGCAGTGGTACAACAAGGCTAGTGAAGTGCACCACACTGAAATTTCAAACGATAAACTGACTGTGAGGTTTCCCAATTGGGAAAACTTCTGTTTGCAAAGATATTAGAGAGTTTAAGCGCAGCAACACTAACCTTAACCTTAATGATGTTGCGTCATTGCCTATTGTCTTGTTATGAACACCCCTGCATATCATGTATTCAGAAAAAGTTGAAAGGGGGAGGACCAAACGTATAATGTGAACAGTCAGATTCAAAGGGAGTGAGTTAACGTTGGGCCAAATGTAAGCTCTTTTTTCAACTTATCTTGTTTATTTTTATCTTGATTCTTTCACATGAGCGTTAACAGACATAGTCAGTACATATTTGGTGATTCTGACAAGCGAGGGAAGACGTTGCAATAAATTTTTCAAGATTTTATGAAGTTACTTAACTTCAGGATTTTGAGATAGAAGCAAGTCAGTGGTGTTTCTTCATAAAGTCCGCTTGATTAGAAGCAGGGATTAGGCCATTGAAAGCCCCTCAGAGATATTTGCTTATCGTTTTTCTTGTCAGAGAAGAGCCCTATTTTCTCCCTTTGCCCCTTTTTGCTTATCGAAAAATAGTATCAGAATCACCGATTTGAAAACTAAAAATTTGAAATCTCCAAGACTATATATAGTTTGGAACATTTTTGTAATATTTAACATAGAATAATGTACTTATTTTATACAAAAGTGCAGCCATTTGTTTGCCCAGCCGTCTAACGTGCCATTCTGAATTCTCACATGTCTGATCATGTGCCTGTGATGAGTGGGTGTATTATGATCTCATCATTATAAAGTTAAGGTTAATGTTAAGGGTGCTGTGCTTAAACTCTCTATTATTGGTAAAAGTAGCCTTATGTATATACAATTAATATATTTTACAAAACATTATGTTAGTTACAACAAATTCAAGATTTCCTTTAAAAAGTCTGGTGCTAATCACTTTCATTTAGATGTGGTCTAGTTTAGTGCAACTTTTGAAGTAAACTAAGATAAATTTATCAATAGAAGTAACTATTTCCTGTGGTACAAAGTAATTGTGTGAATGTCGAAACAAAGATAAATGTTTACTTTGGAGAAGCAACTGACCCATAACTTGAATAATGACCCATAAATAATGAAAAGTACTGCTTTCCAATGGGTTTGCAAGTTTTGTGATTTTAATTCCGTTGCCATCTTCTTCTGATCATCTGATGGTTGTGAAACACCTGAATTTGTTAAAGGCCTAATGAGAATGTCTTGTATGATGAAAGTACCACTTATTGAAAACCTACTTGCCATATATACATTTTTCAAGTAGAATAAATTACTCTAAAAGAATTAGCAAAATTTTAAGTCAGGAATTATTTACCACCAATTGAGAAAAAGGCTTTTTCAGCAATCAACTTTATATATTTGTACAACTTCATTGATTGGAAAGTATTCATATGCCAGAATTTGATTGACAGGTGTTACTATTTGTCTTTCCAAGGTCATTTTAACAAAGGAGGTTGCTACTTCCTGTCAAAGATTTGCTTCCTAGAATTTGAAAGAGGAAGTTCTTATAGTAACTATATGGGCATCTCAAGAAACCATTGCTCTCTTAAACTATTGTTTTTGATAAGAATACATATTTATAGTTTCTTGTATTTGATATTTATTAAGAAATCTTGATGTCTTTTAAGTCCATTTGACAGATAGGCCATCTTCCTCTGAATAAAATGAGATTCTGCCTTTTTAGCATAAGGTCTCAAATAAGCTTGGATTTAAAGCAATATATATTTTGATAATGTTTCATTGATTTCTGC